TTCCACAACGAAGTGCTCCCCTCTAGGACCTCTACTCAGTGCCACCCAGGACTCACGAGGGTCCCTTGCCGACCACTCACCTTAAAGGTCCTCTAACCTCAGACACATCCAACGTACAGAGTATAGTTTGGTCCGGATGCGTCTGCGGGGTGACTAAGGAGTCAATAGCTTTGGCCATCTCTTGAAACGGGGAGGGTACATCACCCGCTTCAACGAGAATAGAAGCAGCTATAACTTCTACTGGCCCTAAGTGTTTCCCGAACTGGAGCTCGTAGAGGCCCCAGATCGAGAAGAAGAGAACCCACCCTTAGGAGGGGTCTTCTGTGAGACCTTCGGGTTCTTGCATTTAAACTGTGTGTGACCGTACTCACCACAGTTGATGCAAGCACCACGAGACCAACGGTCCCGCCACACTTCTTGATCCAGACCTGCTCTAACCCAAGCAACTATTTTGTTTGGGTTAGCGGCCTGCCCCTGACTCCTTTGTTGACCGCCCTTGCCGCGGCCAGCTGCCTTAGTCTTGACTACGACGGCGAGGTTGCTACCCACTCTCCTCGCCGTCAAACTCTGAACCCTCCACAAGTTCAAAAACATCAACGATCTCTGTTTGATTCCCATCGAAATCAACCATCATCAATCGACTACCCTTCTTTTTCCACTCTTGTGGAGTCTTCTTCTTTCTCCCATCCGTAGCTCCACCCCGCGTAGCCTCTAAGTCTAGGGCCTTTTTGTTGAATGACTCAAAAGTGTGATACTCTCTGCGAGCCTCGCTGGCTAATAAATTCCTAATGTCTGTGGGAAGACATCTCAGGAACATGGTCAACAAGACCTGTGGATTGTACTCCACTCCTGGGACGACGATCAGGCGCTCTACGACTGTGGTGAGTTCTCGCACAGACTTGTACTTTCTAGTATCAAGTCTCAAGAGCCCATCAGTGGCAATTTGTGCCTGCTGAGGGTTGTGCCAACGAGCCTCCACTAAGTCCATAAAGCTTTTCAATGTGTGGGTATGCACCCAATCATGCATGTTCCTGCCGAAGCCCTTTGAAGCTACCAATCCGTTTAGCCAACGGGCTGCTGAACCCTTTAAGTAGGATGCAACAGTAATTACCTCCTCTTCTACCAATGTCCTTTTTGCCTTCACCCACACTGGCACTGTTCTCAACCATGTGTCCAGAGCCTCATCCTTCTTGTTTCCTGAGAAGGTTGCAGGTGGGTTCAGTGGGGTCTCGGGATACCAAGGATATTGCTGTCCCGCTTGCGAGACAGGTGGCGACTGTGGTGTAGCAACAGTCGCTGGACCAGAAGATGAAAAAGCAACAGTCTGCGATAGAGCTACTGTTGATGATACACTTGGTGGTGGTCCTGACTGAGCTGCATAGAGGCCTGTCATCGCTGAGAGTGGCAGCGATGGTAAAGCTGCTGACCGGATCCCTGGCTTATGCAACGCTTGCAGAATCTGGTCTAGAGTATCTTGCATTGCGTCCATTTTACTATCTATGTACGCACGCATGGATAGGACACTTGCCTTCAAGATCTTTCCTGTAGTATTAAGTGCAGAGTCCTCTAATGCCTCTAGCGCAGCCATGTCTGCCTCCCTGCCCTTTAATCTGACACTTCTTTCTTTGATCTCTCTCTCTCTCTTAGTAGCTTGCCTAAGTTCCTCCTCTAGCCTTAAGCGGATCCTCTCTACTTGTTGGAGCTCCATATGCTCCCGGGTGCGTGGAGGCGGCGAGCTGAACTGTAGGCCCGCCATTTCACTAGTGCCAACCCCTGACGTACTGGAGATTGACTGTGAACTGGTTGGCATGCCTAGCCCTTGACCAGTTGAGTTCGCAGCAGATGCTGCGGAAGTAGCCATTGCTACACCTCTAGCTGTTGCTGCTTCTCTTGCAGCCTCAAGATTACGGGCCCTAGCTTCAGCCCTTAACCTTCTCTCTTCTCCCGGTTGTAAGGTCTGGAACACTCTTGGAATTCTAAGGGATGATAGCTTTGTTAACCTCCTATCGTCATCTGCACCCTAACCACCCTCTGATCCACTCGTAGATTAGGCAAACGCTGTCTGCACTAATGTCCTCACTGGAACCTACCGCAGCATGCGTTTGACCGGATCTAAAAATAAACAAATAAATAAATGTCTGGCGAGTTAACTAGCCTACTAGTTAAGTGGCATCAACAGCATCTACACAAACTGTACACATTGTCTAACTCTATTCTGATTAGTCTGCACAGAAGATTCGAGAAGAACTGACTATGGTAGATCACAATCCTACTCTAGTCTGTCTGTTAGGTGTCAGCAGTCGGTCAGCCGACTAATGTGAGCAGATGTATGCACAATGGATATGTCAGTGATGTACAATTGAGTTCACAATTGGAATCCCCTTCCCCTGTATCCAACGTACCTGTGAGCATCATCAAGCTGCGGTGTCTAAGGTGTGCAACCACGGTCCACCCCTGTGCCCAAGAAGTATGCTTATGACCAGCCTGCCCCTTTGTTTACCCTCGCGTGCAACGAGCCTAACATCTGACTGATCATGCTGATCAGGAGGGATTTAAGGAGAGCCCCCATCTCCTCAGGAATTCTTTAACGTCGCAATCAGGAMGACAATCACAGCCAGTGGACAGATCAGACCCCAACCAGAAATGTTTATAGACGGTCTGGGAGCGTCTCAATAGGACTGGCCAGTCCGCAAACCCCTTCTATCAGCGCAGCAAAGAGCCTCAATGGACAAAGCAGCATGGCCTGCGTGTACTAATACCCATGGGTTGGCATGGTGACCGTGACCCGTGCTTCGACCAGGGCCCTTCAGAGGCACCGCCCTCTCTTGCCAGATGTGCCACCGGGAAGAATGTCGTCTCTCAAGATAGAGCGCACACGACTCCTTACCAAAGAGAGGACACTCAAGTTGGACTCACTTCCTCACGGTAAGAAGAGATTGAGAGGGTAGATAAGGAATGGGAACAACATACCTGGAGATAGCTGCCCCCAACCACAAATTTCTCACCAATTGGGCTGATGTACATTTCAATCACCGGTCAATAGCCTCGGTACCACCCACAACGCAATGCAGTGCCACCTCAGCCAAAATGCCACGTCAGCATACTCTCATCATCATGCATACACCCGCTGTCGCCACAGCTCCCACGCTGTCGCCACAGCCTTCCAGCGGCCGGCCTCTCTACCTAGGCCCCGCTATTCAACCAGCGCAAAGTATCCTCACTGCACATGAAGTATCATCAGCGCACCAAGTCACAATGTCCCCGGTGCCTTGTAAGCGGCGATCACAACCAGCTCTGATACCAAATTGCAAGGAATATGAGTGTGAGCGATATACATAAAACCAAGTTGCGAAATCACACAGCTGAGCAAGTAGTGGTATCCCAAGTAGAGAGTACAAATGCACCGAGAAAACCATTCATAAAGAGCAATACAATGAAGTATTGAGCCAATGTCTAAGCCCGTAGGCCACACCAACACAGTATCCAGAGTCGCTCTCTCTGTCTGGCGCACAGCGCCCAGCCTACTCTACCACACTATCCTACCCTACAGCTGGTTCACACAACAGGATCACTTAGGCTCACGAAGACCAATGTACATGACTGTCAACCCCATCGGCGACCTCTCTTCATGTACCAGGTACGTATCTCGTCACCCTCAATCAGACCTTGATTATCCCACACAGCGCCTCACTCCCTGAAGATCACCCGATCATCCGTTGTACCCCCTGGCGCCTAGCAGCCCGGCTATGGCTGCCTGCGCCCCGCTGCCCTGCAGCGCCCCTCTCACCACCTAGCGCTCCGTCAGCGCCCCTGGCATTAGAACAGAAGCGCAGCAGCACTTCCGCATTGCCAGCGCTGGCCAGTGTGTGTGGCCTGGGCTGCCTCACTTCCGTTATGGAAGTGTCAGCCTCTTCGATGCTGCGTGTGGCCTGGCTGGAAGCTTCTAGAAGCTTCCGGTTGGGCCCCAGACCCTGTGCAGAGGCTCCTGCCTCACTTCCTTCATGGAAGTGTCAGCCTCTTCGATGCTGCGTGTGGCCTGGCTGGAAGCTTCTAGAAGCTTCCGGTTGGGCCCCAGACCCTGTGCAGAGGCTCCTGCCTCACTTCCTTCATGGAAGTGTCAGCCTCTTCGATGCTGCGTGTGACCTGGCTGGAAGCTTCTAGAAGCTTCCGGTTGGGCCCCAGACCCTGTGCTAATCTGGCTTTTTTTTTTCAGTGCAGAGGCTCCTGGGGGGCCAATCCGAGTTGCTAAACACAACGATTAAAACAGTTATAACAAGACTCACTAATCCTCTTTAAAAAATATTTAAAAAATCAACAGAGGAATTTCCAGTGGTCCAAAAGCCACCAAATTTGGCGCACAGCAACCTTGAACTAAAACAAAAACAGGCAAAAATCAAATAAAATCAACAAAACAAACATATACTTGGGACGCTGGACCCGATTTCCAGAAGGTGCTGCTCCCCACTAATAGACCGGAGCGACCGGGAGAGGGAGTGCTAGGGAGAGATGATCATATCGCTCTCCCTAGCACACCGAACCTGGCCTTGAGGGGGAATAGAAAATAAAATCTGGGGCCTGTGGAGATGGCCCTTGAGTGGAACAAACTGTTGGGACTATCGGTCTGAGGTCAAATGCCAAAGAGAGGGACAAACTACTGGGAGAAGCAAACTAGGCCATCTACCTGTGGAGATCGCCCTTGAGGTGACAACCGTGCTGGATGGGATTGTTTTTGCCGTATACATATCCTGCATAAATGTTGGTAACCAATCTACGGAGTCCTGAGTGGAGTTTAACTTGCCTTCCAACGAACACACTTGCCTTTGTGGAAAAAAGAAAGAAAGCAAGAAAATAAAAAGAAAGACCCCCGAACCCTAATTTCAGGTTTTGGAACCATTACCCAAGAGCTGAAAAGAGGGGGTCCCCATTAACCACTTATGGCACATCCATGAAGGGTGGGCGAGAGGGTGAAAACATCTGCGCATTACAATTCTTCTGGTTACCTCCAATGGTGGAGCACCATCAGCACATCCATGCAGGTCAGCACCACATATCTGCCAAAAGCATTTCACGAAGTGTGCAGAAACAGGGTGGTCAAGAAATCCAATAAACATTAGCTATGGACACTGAGAAAGAGGAAACTATCAGAACATCTGTGACACCCTGCAGCACATAGTAAAATCTCAAGGACGCAAATAGTGGCCAACTCAACAGCATTATGCAAAGTCACCGGGCTGCCAAAAAGGGCACCTGCAACATGCGGGATAGAGGGAGCTAATGTGTGTGTTGTGTGTGTGTGTATGTGTGTGTGCGTTTGTTGTTAAAGCACCCCAAATTCTGTGTCTCATTTCCTCCACAAATCATAACAAACCATCCATAATATCGAAAAAGCATAGATGGACAATATTATAGAAATTTCGAAAATGCAAGGTTGGCCACGTTTGTGTGGTTCAGCACCAATCCATAAAAGGGTGGAGGGCAAGAAGCAACTTACCTAACACAGAGGACTCCACCAGCAAGAAAGCACCCACCCCCTCCGCCATAGGTCCGTACAAACTTGGAGAGCCCTCCACGTCGGCGCACAAAACCAGAAAACAGCATAGCGCAAAAGGCTCCACTAACAAAAAGCACCGACCACACATGCCAATGGTCTAAAAAAATATTCTAGAGCCCTCTGCGACGGCCTACAACACCACCACAAACCGCAGGACCTGTACGCGACACAGAGTGCCACGAACCTCCCCCTGCCGCAAAACCTGCAGAATCGGATGATGCGCTTGTGCTACAGCGAGGCCACTGCGAGAACTATGCCGAATTCCACAAGATCTCCACGCAACACCAGGAGCACTACTGCTTAAAACACCCTAGAAGGTGTGTGTGTGTGTGTGTGTGTGTGTGTGTGTGTGTGTGTGTGTGTGTGTGTTTGTTATAAAATATCACCACAACTTCCCCTATTCCACCCAAACGAGTAGACCCGAAGTCATAGCAACTTTACCTGTGTTGCAGACAATGAAGCATTCTCAAGATGAGCCAATCCACCAATGAAACAGTTGTGCTTGTGGAGTCAATATCTATTCAGAACCTTACCTTAAAACAAGCAAGGAATCTCACCTTTACACTAGCAATGCAACAAAAAGGGTAATTATATTTTGTCCGTTCTCTCAACGACGCTCATTCATATGCATTACTAGTAGTACACAAGGAGAGGGATTAGACAACGGGGAGGAGGAAAAAATAAAAAGAGAGAGAGAGAGAGAGAGAGAGAGAGAGAGAGAGAGAGAGAGAGAGAGAGAGAGAGAGAGAGAGAGAGAGAGAGTGTGTGTGTGTGTTGCGCGCGTGTGTGTGTGTGTGTGTGCGTGTGTGTGTGTGTGTGTATGCGCGCGCGATCCCAAGATCGCTGCGCGAATGTGAGTGTGTGTGTGTGTGTGTGTGTGTGTGTGTGTGTATGTGTGTGTGTGTGTGTGCGCGTGGTGGGGGGCGGGGGGGGGGGGCGACCCCTCCCCCACCACCAATCAATCAATCAATCAATCAATCAATCGATCAATCAATCAATCAAACCC